TGAGCATGGAAATAAAATGAAATAATGGTTTTTGTAAGTGAAGATGAAAAAAAAGGAGAAAAATAAGGATTCCAACTGAAGAAGATTCATGGTAAATGTAAAGGTCGGACTAGTTTCTTACTGACACAGAGCTCCTGTGGCTTTTCGAAGGCTTTTGTAGTACAAAGTAGTCGCAGGAATACTGCATTTGGTAGATGTTTCCTTATTTCATATCAGTTTGTTTATTAGATTATCACAGAGTGAAACAGTATTATTTACTGGATGACAAAGTTTCGAACAAAATTTATTGTTCATAATCATGTCATGAATTATAATCACACGACTTCAAAACTTGAGTTTTATAGTTTACGTTGCCCTCTCCTATTTGTCGTCGTTGGGGTAGTAGAATTTTCCAGATATCTGGGTAGACAGGTGTTGAATCATTCTTACTACATGTATATGCTTCTGTTATCAATCTCTCCCTTCCACCCTGTGACATTAGATTTTATAACTGTCATCTTATCCCATCCATCCTATTGTATGGTTGTGTGTAACTGCATGTAGTGCAGTCAGAAACGAACTCATTTCTGACCAAGAACTTGAACTCAGAACCAAAGTGCCACTCGAGGACATAATGCTGGGATTATTTATTATAATAATAGTCATCCACTCACAAATGTTTTCCTTAGACTACACATCCATTTATTGCATTTCTATTTTCCAACTAATTTACCACGTTGTTAGATGATGCTTAGAGTCACTCAGCAGAAAGCCTTGGAGCAAGGTTGCGTAATTCTTGCCACTCGTCAGCAAAGTATATATATATATATATATATATATATGCAATCTTAAAGGAGTGCATGACCCCTCTGGGATTTGAACTTGGGTAGGCTAGTGCTGCAGTCATACACATTACTACTGAGCTATTCAGACTAGTGACTGACCTCCTCTAGGACTGTAATATATACTAGGTAGTAAACAATGTCTTGAGTCTATCACTTCGTTAGATGCAGACTGGATTCTATCTAGTCAAGTATGCAATATGGCCAACCATGCTGTGTGGCTTCATCATCAAGGTGCATTCTCAATTGATATAAGTATAAAACTTGGTCACTGTGGTAGAGTGTAATTCCATTATGGATAAGATTTTATTTTGATAAGTCACACAGTGTTATACAGTAATATTTACTGATGACCACGTTTCGAGCACAAGTTATTACTGCTCATTATCATATCAAGTTACTCACACAACTTTTTCCTTCATTTTTATACATGTGTGAAGTTGACTAGATATTTGAAAAAAAAATCAATGTAGGATTATGTGCATTCAGAAATAATAATATGAGTGTTATTCATCAATTACAATCAGATGGGAAATAAAACGAGAGCTTTTACTATTACACTAGATAAGGAGGGGACATCTGAAACCCTGCGTAGGATTCTTAATAAAGCAGAAATTAGGGTGGCATTCAAACCTACAAACTCACTCAGGGACAAGTTCTCTAGGCTGAAGGACCCAGTTGACCCGATTAGACCAAATAACATAATTTACAAAATACATTGCAATGACTGTGAGTCAAGTCAACTACATAGGTCAAACTAGTAGGTCGGAACACAAGAATTTAGCTAAGGTCAGAAAGTTAAAACAATTAGTCCCATTGATAAAATTGAATAAGGCATTAAGAAAACAAATTTCGCCAGATGATATCATTTCGTAGTTTCTTTACAACCGCTTTACAACTAACATGGTTAACAATGATAAAGTTCATGAAAATTACTCAGTTAAATAAAAGCAAAAGTACATACTAATGACCAATCATATTTAGATAGGTCATGTAGTCCATGGTAGGCGAAGGTTGAAGTCTATTGCTTTTTTGTACACAGGGTTTAGGCTGTATGTGATTAATCCAAAGTGCTTCCATCACCTTCAATAACCAACCTTGAATTAGAGTTATGTGATGAAATAATTGTGAAGCAGTCATTAATATTGATTTTGTGACCAGACATTAATAAGTGTTTTGCAATGGATGATGCTGGATTTCCGCTTGTGGAAAAGCAGATCAGTCGTCAGCTTCAGATTTTAATGATACGTGGTTTTATAAATGGAAAACTTTATAAACAACTTAAACCAATAGGGTCACATACTCCTCAGCTTTATGGCCTTCTGAAGATCCACAAAACTGGGAACCCACTGAGACCCGAATTCTCTTTACCATAAAATCGCCAAGTGGATTACAGAGGTCCTTACACCTGTAAGAGATTCATTATCAAATCATTCTGTAAAAAGTTCATTTGATCTTACAGAAATGCTAGACACCTTGAACATTAAGGAAAAGGTTATGTGTTCAATAGACATAGAATCTTTATTCACCAATGTTCCTTTTCAAGAAACTGTTGATTTCATTTGCGATTATATCACAAGCAACGGCATAAACTTACCTATTCCTGTAACTTACATCAAAGACATCATCTTAATGTGTACAGAAAATATTAAATTCACATTCCAAGAAAAGGTATACAAACAAATCGATGGTGTTGCAATGGGGAGCCCTATGGCGTCCCTGTTAGCAGATATATTCATGTCGAAATTGGAGAAACAAATGTAAGGTATGCTTGGAGAATTTATCCTGTATAAACGTTATGTAGACGATACTCTTATTATTGGTAATAATACTAAATCTATTGTAAACTTTATTACCCTATTTAATCATATTCATCCAAATATTCGAGTGACTTTCGAACTCGAATCGAATAATAAACTCGGTTTCCTGCATATTTCACAGTGACCAGGAGATATGATGGAACGATTCAGCGATCTATTTTTCGTAAACAGACATGGAGTGGACAATATCTTCATTTTACCAGTTTTGTTCCTATCCAATATAAACGTTCCCTAGTGAAATGTTTGTTCACAAGGGCCGGAAAATATGCACGAGTGACACATTGATAGATGAGTTTCGACATATACATTCAGTTTTATTAGCTAATGGTTATCCGGAAAACTTTATCACTTGTCACAGTAAGGGTAGACCACATCTTGAAAAGAGAGCTTCTGTACCAAAGAAAGCTGTTTGTTTATTAACCTACCATTCAAGGGTGACCAGATTACGCAGTTGACAGCTCAAAGACTTCAGTCAGCCATCAAACGCACATTGTACACCGCATGTCTTTTTCTCATTTGCCGAAAATTTTCGATCCCTGTACCTACGATCAAAGGACGAAATTCTGTGGACTCTAATTCAAACTGTATCTACAAGCTCACCTGCAGTTGCGGTGACATCTATATAGGTAGAACCAACAGAATGTTCCAATGTCGTCGAAAAGAACATGTTCCAAAATGGTTACTAAAGTCATATAGAAAATCCCAATGCAATTAATTTGAATAGAAAACTGTCATCGTCATCCAATGGATAGCACTTATTAATGTCTGGTCACAAAATCAATATTATTGACTGTTTCACAATTATTTCATCACATAACTCTAATTCAAGGTCGGTTATTGAAGGTGATGGAAGCACTTTGGATTAATCACATACAGCCTAAACCCTGTGTATACAAAAATCAATAGACTTCAACCTTCGCCTACCATGGACTACATGACCTATCTAAATACGATTGATCATTAGTATGTACTTTTGCTTTTATTTAACTGAGTAATTTTCATGAACTTCATCATTGTTAACCATGTTAGTTGTAAAGCGGTTGTAAAGAAACTACAAAAGGTAAGAATGGTCGACCCTGAGAAGATAAGCAATTTAGAAAAAAGCTCAGCACTGCATGAATTAATACAAAGCCACACAATAGGGTGGGAAAGGCTTAAGATTCTAAGAAGTAATCTATGTGGGTGGAGAAGGAGAGAGATTGATTATGGAATCCTGGTTCATCAAGTCTACATTCAATGCAAATACCAGGAATATGGAGGATAATATTCCCACCAGTCGAATCACTAGAGGATGATAAATAATCTCAAATTTTTTTGTTTCAATTCAAGCACATCACAACATTTTAACAAGTAAATTACTATGACTATACAAACACTCGTTTTATTTCCCATCTGTTTTCAATTGATCAATAACACTCATATTATTATTTCTGAATGCACATTATCCCACATTGATTTTTTTTTCAAATATCTAGTCAACTTCACACATGTATAAAAATGAAGGAAAAAGTTGTGTGAGTAACTTGATATGATAATGAGCAGTAATAACTTGTGCTCGAAACGTGGTCATCAGTAAATATTACTGTATAACACTGTGTGACTTATCAAAATAAAATCTTATCCATAATGGAGTGCATTCTGAATTGCTGTTAGATAAGTGCAGACAGTCAGTAGGAAGCCTTGAAACTAGGTTTCGTGCTTGTTGGTACTCGCCAGAAAAGCATTTCTGCACCAAAAGAAGGAACAGGTACATGAATGACATTAATTAGCACTAATTGTCCAATCGTGCGTCGGTGGCACAGCGGTTAGGACGCTCGCCGACCATACATATGGTCCGGGGTCCGATCCCCGAACGACACACTTCTTTACCCCGCTAAGCCAGAAATAATGCTGGTAAAGAGGAAAGGTTGGGCAGAACCTTCAAGCCACTAGCTTGAGGCCGTATGTTCCACTGGGAACGTGAAAGAAAAAAAATTGTTCATACATTTGGTTCCCTTGATAAATTTCGATAAAGAAAGGAAGACGAAATTTGCAGTATAAAATGATATCATTCTATTTCACAGGTTCTCATCAGCTGCAGATTTCGTCTTCCTTTCTTTATCGAAAAAAAATTGTCTAATCAATTCAATTGACTACTTATCCAGTGTACTCTAGCTAACCAGACTAAATACTTGGCTATTAGTCAATCACTCAGGTTGCAAAAGATAAATGTACGCTAACACACTGCTACCGTAGAACTTTGTACCAAATACTAGTTAAATGTGCGACATAAATAAAAGTATATTTCATGAAATATAAGTAACATAATGTATATTTACACCAAAGACCAATCAAGAAAGTGGTAACAAGCAAATCGGGATCATATTGGGTTAGATGTCCGACCGAGCCGAGAATGGACTGGAGCATTTGATTTCATTGACCTGTTGCCTAGAAAGAAAAAATATTTATATATGCCTTGTAAGAATTAAATATTTTATCCAAAAGAACACACGCATTTGCAATTAATAGTGTTCGCTGACCTGGTTGGTTTAGTTGCGGAAATTTCGTCGTGCTTCTGGATAAGTGAAATGATTTAAATTCTTCATGAGTGATATAAATGCAACTCCCAGTAACCATCTTTACATACGTATTGACCATTTTCTATTGACTCGGATTTAAAACTTTCTGGTCACCTGATTTACTGCTTATTAGTTGAAATATTTGGTCTATATTAACGTGTTTGTTAATTGCATATTCGTTGGAGTACCAGGTTTCTAGGAATTCCCTGGTGGCACTTTTGGTGTTTCCTTTGTCTAAAATTTCGACATTGTCCCAATCAAACTGATGTCCATAATTGTCTATATGATATGAAAGAATATATATCGTGTCTTTTCACGGCTGATTTGTGTTCCTGGATTCTGATTCGAAGGGGACGCCCACTTTGGCCGATGTATTGCCTGTTAAACTTCATACAATTATTTTGTAAATGGTATTAATTTTATCCCCTTTTTCTGTTGGATTATTCAGTTTGCATAATACCGAATTAAGCGATTTGACTGGCTGGCTTGTGTGATATATCTCTGTCAAACGGTTTCAGTATTCTAGCTGATATTTCAGATATTAATTGCAAATCATTCACCTGAGCTACAAATCTTCTCTATTATTTCAAAACATATCCATTTCAGTTATCAGAACAAGGAAGTGCTAGACGGATGTTTTGTCCTCCTTCTTGACGACTCTTCAACAGTACGCATTCGCCGGGGTTCAGTTGATCCAGGACCATTTGATTACACGGTAAGAGCGTAGACCATTCAACTACTGCGACTCTACTCAATGGTGCATGAATCCTAACTTTTACCACGAGTCCTAAACTAGGGCGGAACAGGTGTCCAGTACTTCCTGGTTCTCAATCCGTAGTCACATTTGAAACAATTCCTACAAATTAACCCTTGGAAACGTTAAGCTGATAAAATAAACGTTTTTACTAGTTATGAAAGGACTACCTAACAAAGAAAAAAATTGTTACTCTTAGAAGGGATATTCAAGTATTGGTTTGTAGGTATTTGGTTGTTTGGTTACAGGATTTCATCAGTGGCTTAATGATCTACGAGCTCGCCTTGTGACCAGAAGGTTCTGGGTTTGGACCCCAGTGGGTGCGTACTGATGGAGAGCCCCAAAAACTAGGACGAAACAGCTGTAATAACGAAGAACAAAACAGTTTCATTGGAAATCATAAGTCACAAGGAGCGGATACATCTGCGCCATCACTGACAACGATTTTGAGCCATGTCACCAATTGTTTCCAACCACTGATTTTTACCGTCCCGAGGACCCCAGCCTGGAAGTCTACACCTTCCTACGTGGCCAACTGTTGTGGATTTCATTGACTGGTGCCAAGTTTTTGTTTGACCGCCGCTAGCTTTTTTCCAGCCTGACCCTATATCCACTAACATTGCTCGTCGAGGGAGGCGATGACTTGGCATACTTAACACATGTCCTAACCATCTCAGTCTTTGTAACTTCACGACTTCGTCGATTGATTTCCCCTGTTTATCTAGAACTCTACGCCTAACCTCAATATTGCTCACCTTATTATACTACTTCACACGGGAAATAGAACGCAGGCACCTATGATCAAACACAGCTAGTCTTTTCATGTATTCCACTCTCAGTGGCCAGGTTTCAAAACCATATAGGAGGACGGAGCGGACTGATGAGCAGTACACCCGCCCTTTGGTCGATAGTCGAACATCTCGTCTACGCCAGAGTCGGCGTAAACTGGCAAATGCGAAACGAGCCCCCTGTATTCGTGCTGAGATTTCGTCAGAGATCAACCCGTTGGCACTGGCTGATGGTACTTCCCAAATAAGTGAAGCGGTCAACGTGCTCTTCCATTTCACTTTCTATTTTTAAACTAGGCGTCGATGTAGTCCAGTCCTGTAACATCATCTTGCATTTGGCTGGAGCGAATCGCATGCCAAACATTCGTAGATTGCCGATCAAGGTGTTTAGAAGACTCTACATTTCGTCAGCGTCTTCGCCTAGAAGGACTATATCGTCTGCATATTCCAAGTCAACGAGATTATTTCCTGGTAGCGAGTCAATCCCTGAGTTGCCGAAGTCACTAGGGTTAAGTCCATTAACACATCTATGATGAAGTTGAATAGTAAAGGGGATAATGGGCATCCTTGAAGGACACCACTAGTCGTCACCAGTTCAGATGACACCTCGCCGTAAGCCCTCACCCGACTGTATGAGTACGAGTAGAGTGCCTTAATCAGTGCAATATATTTTCTCGGCATTCCCTTTACAGCCAAGCATCTCCAGAGAACTTCTCAGTCGACAGAGTCGAATGCCACGTTTAGGTCAAGAAATATAATGACTGTTGGACGCCGGTAGGAATGCCTATGTTCTAGAATCTGTCGAAGGGTGAAGATATGATCAATACACCCTCTTCCTGGTCTAGAGCCTGCCTGGCTCTCTCGTGTTTGTGCCTCCCGAGCACCACTCAGTCTACGCATGATTATTGAGTCTAAGACTTTAGATACTATATTAGTCAAGCTAATCCCTCTGTGATTATCACAGAAAGACTTGTCTCCCTTCTTGTATATGGGGATAATCAGTGACTTACACCAACCCGATGGGACTTCTTCTGATTCCCAGACGCTGCCTAGTACCTCAGTTAATCCGGACAGTAAACTGTCTCCACCGTAGTTTCAAAGTCTTTTCTGATTGGACACTAGGTAGGAACTAGTGTCACCTGTATCTATTAATTAGGCGCAGATTGAATTCTATCAGTCATGTTTGTAATGTAGCCAACCGTGCTATGTGGTTTGCCATCATGGTGGACTCTGAATTGTTGCTACAAGATGGTTGAAAGCAATCGGCAGGAAGTTTTAGACTTAGGCTTCGTGATTGTTAGCACTCATCAGCAAGGAACTCATGCCCATGTCACCCAGCTCTGAGGATAGAGACGTTAATACTGAACTATTCGGACTGGCGACTAACCTTCTGTAGGACTCTATGGACTGGAACAATTCAATCTACACTGAACATAGGACTAAACATATGACATTAGTTAGTAACTAGTATCCAATCAAAATATATATTACAGTCTTACAGGAGGTCAGTCGTCAGTCCGAATAGCTCACCGGTAAAGTCTCTGGCTGCAGAGCTGGATGACACCGGTTCGAATAGCAGGAGGGAGATGAGTACCTTGACGATTGCAAATACACCTTGTTACCAACAAACACGAAATCTAGGGCACTCAAGCCTTCCTACCCATTGCCTCCAACCATCTAATGATAAAGGCCCTACTTATAGTAATGTGATTATATCAATAAACACATGAATGGTTGCCAAGCATATTTATATAGTAACGCGTAGTGGATAAGTTAAACTTTAAAACAGTGAGTAAAGCAAGTCAGTGCATTTTAAAATTTCATATACTAATGTCACGTCTTTCATGTCATACCAATAATCAATATGTTCCAGGATTTCATCATGAAATGAGATCGGTCGGATGGCCATTGCAAAACCTCGGAATACTGGACAGCTAGCTGTTTCGTTGGCCTAGTTTGAGACCCGTTAGCAGTACACGCATTCACCAGGTTTTGAATCCAGGACCTCTCAGTTACAAGGCGAGCTTGTGACCACTAAGTCACCGGGACCCGACCCGATGATCCATGAATTCCAACTTCTATTAATTCATGATATGGCGAGACCAATAGCGAATGTCATCGTCCGTGACGAGTATTTGTCCTCACACCCGACCTGTTGTAACCCCAGTGGTCACGACTTCCCACTAGAACCAAGGTAACTACCTACCTGAATGGGGGGGGGCAGTCAATAGTGACCATCAGATTGATATTCAAGTGTTGGTTTTCAGGGATTTGATTGGTTTCAGGATTTGTGGTGTTGGATGCCATGTTGATTTGTAAACCAACACTCAAATATCAATATGTTTCAATTGCATATGATCGCCGAAAATACACATTGATTCATGAAGAAAATAAAAGACAAATTCAGCGAAGAAAATTTTCTTTATCGACAAAATCATCTTCAGACACTGTACAGTCGTATTTATACTTAGAAAAATGTATAGTGCTCTATTATTAAGTAATAGGGGGTGACATAATTGATATAATTAATCATAAGTGGCTTTAGAAGTGAAAATTAAAAGTTGTAAATTACATGGTACTCAATGGCACAAAGATAGAAGTTTGAATTCGTCGGTTCAATAAGTGATGTTAAGAGAACTGGGAAGAAAATGATATCTATGGATGTTACTTCGCTTCACATCAACGTTCCCCTCACTGAAACTAGCTGCTTTATTTGCAAATTCAATGAGGATAATAATGTAGACGTGTGTGTTCCGATCCACTACTTAAAGGAACGACTTCTGAGGTGCACTCTAAATGTCCAATTCAAGTTCAACAACACGATTTATAGACAAAGAGATGGAGTGGCAATGGGGTCACCACTGGATCCTTTATTTGCAGACTGCTTCTTGGCTAGTTTGGAGAATAGTATTTTACGGCCTACTATCGACAGTTTCCATCTGTATCAAAGATACATGGATGACACTTTCACCATATGTGACGACAATACCGAGATCGAATGGATAACTAAGGAGTTCGACAACTGCCGTCATGCCATCAAGCTCACGTCAGAATCAGAGATTAACTCGGAATTTCATTTTTTGGATATTTTTCTAAAGAGGAGATCTGACGGTTCCCTTCAAAGATCGATCTACAGGAAACCAACATGGAATGGTCAGTACAAAAATTTCCATAGCTGGGTCCCTTTGAGAAGAAAGAGAAATCTGATCCATTCATTATCCTCAAGAATAAGGAGGATATGTTCAAGTGATACAATCGATGGGGAACTGGAGCGACTCAGACATGTTCTCATAGAGAATGGATATCCTCCAAGATTTATCGAGAAGTTAAGAGAAAAGCCTGAAAGAATTCAGACGGTGCCGAAGAAACTGCCCTTTATGAGTGTTGAATTTAAAGGTGATACCGCAGCTGAGATCCTGAAGAATCGCTTATGCAGATCACTGAGGAAAGCCTTCTACAGCCGACAAATGATCAACGGATGTGTGAAGGATAAACTGCCGCTTTGGGCCACCTTAATGTGTGTTTATAAATTCACCTACTCGTGTAGAGCTAGTTATATCGGCCGCACAAAGAGCACGCTTTCCAAACGCATCTCTGAACATTATCCGGCATGGTTAGCAAAGGGACAATGTAAGACAAGTACTAACTCAATTCTCGAGCATTTGGTGAACTCAGGCCACATAGCTCCACCAGAGTCGTCTTTCAACATCATCTACAAAGTGAAGCCAAATGGTACAAAGGGCGTCAGGTTTCGGCTTTTGTGTATGGCAGAGGCGCTGGCAATTCATCAATACAACCCTGAACTCTGTATACAGAAAAAGTTTGTCCAGTCTCTTATTCTACCTTGGTCTTAACCTCTTCATTAATCGTTCCCTGTAAAATATTTTGATTTTTTTCTTTTTCTTTTCCTTTTTAATTTTACTTTTGCTTCAATAATTAATTCACTATTATCAATCTCATATGCTCCTTTTGTAGATTTCACACCCTCTTCACACTTGTTAAATTGACACTCAAATACCTTTATTCTCACTCAATAGCAATTTTAACCTTATCAAATTTCCATCTTTGTGCCGTTGAGTACCATGTAATTTACAACTTTTAATTTTCACTTCTAAAGCCATTTATGATTAATTATATCAATTATGTCACCCCCTATTACTCAATAATAGACCATTATATATTTTTGTGAGTATATATACGACTGTACAGCGTCTGAAGATGATTTTGTCGATAAAGAAAATTTTCAGGATTTCATCATGCTGACATCAGTTAGAGAACCATTGGAAAACCTGGGAGTACTGGACGGCTGTTTCGTCCTAGTTTGGGACTCTTCATCAGTACGCAGTATGCTGAAGAGTCCCAAACTAGGACGAAACAGCTGTCCAGTACTCCCAGGTTTTCCAATGGTTCTCTAACTAATGTCAGCTCATGATGAAATCCTGAAACCAATCAAATCCCTACAAACCAACACTTGAAAGAAAATTTTCTTCGCTGAATTGCATATGAGAAACAATTTCAATGACAAAAATAGATGGATGTTAATACAATATACACCACAAAAAAAGCTTTAGTTTTAACCATATAGAAGAAGTTGGTTTTTCCATTACCTAAACGATTTTTCACAGAAACTTTGTGTATATTTTCGTGGGCGAGTACTCCTTCAGTATAAGGCCAAAGAGGACTTTTCAAAGGACTCGGAACTACTGAATCACTGTCAAATGAAGAAGACTGTATTCGAGATTTCTTGAGTACTCCTTTATAAGAAAGTTGATCCTCCGATTGACTCATAGCAGATGGTGCACTTAATCGACTGAAAACAGTTTCAGAAGCCTGTATGCATTTTTCAGTACAGCAATCGATGAAAAACAAAAAAGAAGCAACAGAAATACACGTATAAAAAACACATAAATTCACTGGTATTTTAAAATAACACTAACACAGAGCTTTTGATAACAGGATATTTTAAACAGTTCATGCGACCATACAATGCATAGAATACCCTTGAATGGCACAATCATTATTATTCTTATTGTTCCCTTGAGTTTCGGGTGGAACATATGCCTTTAATAGCAGATCTCCATTTTACCCTATTCTCTGCTATCCTCCAAAGCTGGCTCTACGATTTACCATGGTCTATCATCTCCTCCAGTGTTACCTATGGACTACAGCCCAACTCATCGTTTCCCACTCAGGTCCCATTGTGGTAACAGCAGTCTGTTGATCGAAATTGCAGACAACAATCTACGTCAATGTTTACGTCCCGAATCGGCGTCATGGGAAAAACAACAACAACAATAACAAAGCTTAACCTTGAGGAACACACTAACCAATCACAACAGACTTAACGGGTGCAAATACGATTCGAAGATATATGGACTGACTGTCTAAACAAAAGGCCACAAGGAGATGACAGAATAACCTTCAGCAGGAAAATAACCAATCAGAAGACACTGTTTCTCTGCTGACAATAAAGCTTATATAATGTACATAAAAATCTATAAATATCTGTTGATTTTTTCAATAAACGATTTGTTGACTGGCCATTGTCTTCTGTCGTTACATCACCCCCAGAGAGAGAGATGGTCTGGCACACAATTTCGCCCAATGGCCTCCTCAGCGTGTCCGATTTATCTGCTTTTTCTTCTACATATTTGTTGAGCAATAGGTTGTTGGTTGGTTCGTTCGCAAATTCTCTTGTTGATACATTTTTCTCACCATAAGATCTTCGGCATAGAGCGAAGGGAGCTGTTGATAAAAGTTTGTAGCCTGTTGGAAATGTTTTACTGGCCCTCCAAGGAGTACTGACGCAACACTGACGTTGAAAATGTGAATTTTCAACTTTATACTGAGTACGGAATATTTTCACACTGATTTCAGAGTGATGCCTTTCCTGTTCTCGTTGTGACACCTTCGTCCGGGGAGGAAAAAGTGACCTCTTTGAAATTTCCCCCTGTGAAAGTGACTGGTGATGTTGTTGTTGGTTATTTTCATCATCTCCATCTTCTCTTCTATGTTTGCCTCCTGCTTTTTCTACCAGTTTATTAGTGTTAGACTGTAGGTCTCTGAGTTTGTGTGACACTGAGCATAAATCATCCGCTAAACTCAGATGTTCTAGAGTCTTCTCTTCTTCTTATCTTTCTAGTGAGTGTTCCGTGTCTCCTCACTCCTCACAGTCTTTCACATAATCCACTCCAACACAATTAGAAATATCATCGGCGATAGTAGACAAAAACCCTATCAAACTACTGTTTTCACTTCACAGACTTCTTCGAGTTTTTCGTTGTGGATCGTCTGACACATTGAAGTGTCATGTGTGTCTGTCTGCCTGTTTCCGACATAGAACTTTGCACCGATGTGCGGCAGTTCAAGTCGTCAAACTCCATGTAACACACAAAGCAGGAGAACAAAGTAGAAGAAATGCATAATAGAGACAGTAAACAGGGATATGAAGCAAAAAGAATAGTAACATAGGAGAATATAGTTTCATTGGAAATTATAAGTCACAAAGAGTGGATGCATCTGCACCAGCCATTGAGAACGATTTTAAGCCATATCACCAATTGTTTCCAGCCTTCATTAGTTTTTACCGTCCCGAGGACCCCAAACAGTCAAGAAGTCTACACCTTCATACGTGGCTTAAACTAACTGTTGTGAATTTCATCGACTGATGAAGCCATGTTTTGGTTTGACCGCAGCCAGCTTTTTTCCAGTTTGACACTATGTCAGCTAACATTTCCCATCGAGGAAGACAACGACTAGGCATACGTAACACATGTCCTAACCATCTCGATCGGTGTAACTTCACAGCCTCGGCGATTGATTTCCCCTCCTTATTGCCATATATAGACAGCTGTTGAATGAGGTTGGCAAAGACTTGTCGCACGCATCTCACAATGCCATCAACCGATTATATATTTTAAAATCAACAACTATTTGTGACAAGCGGTCAAGTCCACAAACTACAAAAAATAGTCAAAAAAATCTGAAAAATCACTTCTTAAAATATATACCACACTGAATACTTACATGGCGCTTTAAAGGTGTTTTTCCTCTGGCTGATTGTTGAGAAGAATTTTCGCCAGACATACCAAATTGTCTAACCACTTTGAAATCTAAAGATCCTTCAGGTGGACCAAACATGCCTTCAGAAGCTGCAGAAGCAGAAGCGGATGGACGAGAAGGTGGTGAAAAACTGTCTTGACTTAAATTCAAACGAATAAATCGTTGCATAGTAGACGATGGATCAGTTCTTTTAATCAGGACACTTGTAGATGAATCTTGTCGATTAACACTGCCACCTAACCGATTGAATACGGATTCACCAGACGTTGAAGAGAAGAAGAAGTGGTGTTTGGCCTAGACAAAATGAAGAAAACCTAATCGATTTTTACAATCTCTTCTCTAATGTTAGAAATAAAATGAAAAGTGAAGTAATGAAAGGACTTATCTGTAAAAGATTGAGCTATATGGAGTATTTGTGAGCAAACAATACACACAGCCTGAGACTGATTTGAAGGGCAATTATTTGTATATGGCGGTAATCATCAAGAGTATATATTTTGGGATAGAAAACATCTTTTACCTAGTTGTGTAGGCGTGAAACACTTTGTGAAGGTAAAATACAGAAATAAAATGCAAACCGATAATCTGTAGGCATTCTGAAGTATGAAAAAAATAATAACTGAATGCTGAAAATCAAATAGGGATACACTGCACTCATTTCTAGATAGTGTCAGTGGATGCCTGCATGCTTACCACCTTCCGTTTATGCTTCCTTTCATTATCTTTCTCTCTCTACTAACTTGCCCTCAGTGTCAATGGCAACTTGACTGACTGGATTTAACGTAGAACAACTTTGCACTGATGTGCATCAATTTGAGTCGACACACTCCATGTAGCACACAAAGCAAAAGAGGTAATAAAACAGAAATATGAGGCGAAAAAGAATAGTAATATGGAAGGACAATATAGCTTTATTGGATATTATATATCACTAAGAGTGAATGCATCTGCGCCAGCCAATGGGAATAATTTTGACTCATATCACAAATTATCTCCAGCCATTGGTTTCTACCATCCCGAGGACTCCAACCAATCAGGAAGTCTACATCTCCGTACGTGGCTGGCCGACTTGAACTAACTGTTGTGGATTTCATAGACTGATTCCATGTTTTGGTTCGACCACCACAAGCCCTCTTCCAAGCTGATCCTTTGTCAGTTAACATTATCGGTCAAGGAAGGAGATGGCTAGGCACGCGCGTAGCATATGTTCTAACCATCTCAATGGGTGTGACTTTAAAACCTCGTCGATTTATTTCTCTCCGTACCTAGCACTTTACCGAAGCCTAACCTCAGTATTGTTCACCTTATTATACCACCTAACACGGAGGATACTGTGATTGAAGACAACTAGCCAGCCTTTTCATGTCTTCTACTTTCAATGGCCATGTATCACAGTCGGATATCACGTCTACACCAGAGATGGCATAAGTTGTCAAATGCCAAACGAGCCTTCTGTATCCATGCTAAGATTTCGTCAGCAATCAACACGCCCTACTACTTCAAGCTAGGAGTCAATGCAGTAATGCCAACTAACAGTGAAAGTAAGTTCTGTTAGTTCTACAAGAAAACTGTTTCGTGTTATTCAAGATTATGGGTAAAATCAGAAGTTGTGGTATACGGCAAAATAATTCTTAAGGATACAAAAGTATACTAACGCAGATTAGAAGCAATCTCAAACAACAACTGTGCTTAGATTAATTGATTTGTGTGAATTTTGAATTACTTCCAGTTGTTAAATTTTCGCCACGAACCAAAATCATTTAGAGAGATCACTAAAATGCACAGAGCACTTGGACCCCCCTCCCACAGGGATCAAAACTGGGGACCTTCAGGTTACGGTACCAAGCTCGTTGACCATTCATCAACCACACGACCTGGAATTCAATGACCCTCTAAATTCTAACTCCTGTCAATTCATGATATAACGTCACCTCCTTAACCAGTGACTTCGGTAGGTAGGCACCGACGGAGAGTCCCAAAATAGTGCGAGACAGGTGTCCAGTGCTCCCTCCTTGGTTTTCAGTGATCTAACAACTGAAAATAATTTTATTGGAAGGTGAACTAACTGAGAATTTTCTTTGAAATTTCGTAAATTTCATAGAACCATCAAAGAAATTAACTGTACTTTTTAAGAGAAGTTCAGCCTACTTAATGACTGGAACGTTATGGTGTTTTGAGCACCAAAGTCAATCATTTAACCTACCAAGTAATCGTAAAAATTTCAAAACAAAGCGAATAAAGAGCGGAACATATATACTCAAAGCAATAAAATATAATTCAGATTTTCTATAGTTTGGTTTATGAGGGTTAGTAATGACCAGTAAGGTCCAATTAGATGTCATGTGTGTGGATGGATGCCCCACCAACGACAATGGTTGGGGTCGCGCTAAATCACGAATTGGTAGAAGTTAGATTTCATGATCCATTGAATCGGGTCCCAGTGGCTGAACGGTATACGAACTTGCCTTGTAACCGGAAGGTCCTGGACTCGAATCCCAGTGGGTGCGTACTGATGATGATTCCCATACTAGGATGAAACAGCAGCTGTCTAATTTTCTCTTGTTTTCAATGATTCTCCAACTGATATCAATCAGTGATCAACTCGTAAAAACATAATTCAAATTGAGAATGAATGAATATATATATATATATATATATGTCTGTTTTCGACACAGAACTTTGCACATATGTGCGGCAGTTCAAGTCGCCACACTCCATGTAGCACACAAAGCAAGAAAAGAAATGCATGATAGAGACAGTAAACAGAGGTATGAGACAAAGGAATAGTAGTAACGAAGATCAAAACAGTTTCATTGGTAATGATAAGTCACAAGGAGTGGATGGATCTGAACCATATATATATATATATGCAACCTATTTAGGGTCGCACACATATATTCGCACTTAAAAACGCCACCGAAAGTAAATTCCTATGACCTACAACTAATATCCATCAAAATCAACAGTGCCTTGCCTTTGTAAAACACAAATGGAACCAATACGGGTTTAATAGGGTTGAAGCAGTGTCGTAGTTTTCTAACTGCGATTCAACATCCAAGACAAATAACCAGAGAGATAATAAACAAAATAAGAGTCACTTACTTAGAGATAATCACACGATAATTATCAGAATCGTCAGCGTCACTGTCGCCAAAAGTGGATGAGACTGGAGATTCAGTAGTTTTAGAAGGTTTATCAGTTTTTCCTTGTTGTTGTTGTTGTTGACTAGACTTCATAGCTGCTGGAAGGGTAAACAAAAAACACACATTGATGACATCTGAAAGTAACAGCTGGCTTCAAAACCAGATTTCAACTTAAACACGTAAGTCTATCTACTATGCACAACAGTATCGTCAGCAAGGTGTATTTGCTTGTCCTTTGATCTTATGTCTGTCTGTTTTCGAAATAGAACTTACCACATATGTGCAGCAGTTCAAGTCGCCACACTCCATGTAGCACAAAAGGCAAGAGAAGAAATGCATAATAGCAACAATAAACAGAGGCGTGAGACAAAGGAATAGTAATAGCGAAGAACAAAACAGTTTCATTGGAAATCATAAGTCGCAAGGAGTGGATGCATCTGCGCCATCACTGAGAACGATTTTGAGCCAGATCACCAATTGTTTCCAGCCATTGATTTTTACCGTCCTGAGGGTCCCAACCAGGAAGTCTACACCTTCCTACGTGACTGGCTTAAACTAACTGTTGTAGATTTCATTGACTGGTGCCATGTTTTGGTTTGACCTCAGCTAGCTCTTTTCCAACCTGACCCTATATCAGCTAACATTCCCTGTCGAGGAAGGCGATGACTAGGCATACGTAACACATGTCCTAGCCATCACAATCTATATAACTTCGCAGCCTCGTCGATTGATTTCCCTCCTTACCTGACTGAAGTCTGACCTCAATATTGCTTACCTTATTATACCACTTCACACGGGAAATAGAAGGCAGGCACCTATGATCAAAGACAGCTAATCTTTTCATGTCTTCTACTCTCAATCGCCAGGTCTCACAGCCATAAAGGAGGACGGAGAGGACTGCTGAGCAGTACACCCGCCCTTTGGTCGACAGTCGGATATCACATCTACGCCAGAGACGGCGTAAACTGCCATTTGCGAAACTAGCCCTCTGTATCTTATGTCTACTGACTAAGTGATGTACTTATCAAAGTTCAAATAAAAGATGTTGTATAACATTTATCGTTAATGTGCTGATACATTATTCACTCCAATCAATCGATGTATCAACACTAACCTAAACTAACTGTGGATATCACATCAAGGAAACCGGGACTTGTCTCTGTAGTAATTTTGTAGTGGATCGTATACTAGCTATTATGGCACAGATAAAATCATTACTTTTCAAACGTTTTCTACAAAATGGTTGAAAAAATCTCATTAGACTTGGTCTTTTAAACTGGTGAACACTGAATAACTAAAACCACAGCATCATTGCAAGACCACATAAAAAGGTAATAAGGTCCTTGATTATAAGTCCCTTTTGATGCTAATTTAGAGTTTGTAACTCAATGACTTAGAGGACTTAGAATTGAAGTGAGGCAGCTCGAGTTACCACACTTCATGTAGTATACAAAGCAAGCGAAGATATTTGAAAGAATGATAAACAGAATGTGAGACAGAAAGAATATGGGAAATAACAAAGAACAAATATATCTGCACCAATGAGAACGATTTCCAGTCATATCACGAGTTGTCTTCAGCTGTTGGTTTTTAGAACCCAAAGGACTCCAACAAGGTAGTCTACACCTACCTATGCGGCTCTAACTAACTGTCAAAGACTTCATGGACTGATTCTAAACTTTGGTTTGACCACCATTAGTCCATTTCGGACCACATTCTAAGTTCTAAGTAAGCTAGCATTCCTCGTCGAGGATGACTAGGCATGCGTAACAAATGACCTACCCAACTCAATAGACGTAGTTTCACAACTTCATTGACTGACTTTCCCTTCATACCTAACACTCAATACCTAGCGATAGAACGCAGACATCTATGGTATAAGATCTATAACCGGATATCACGTCTGTACGGTGTAAGTTGGCAAATGCCACATGAGCCGATTGTACACGTGCTGAAATTTAGTCAGCGATCAGCTGATGCATATTCCTAAATAAGTGAACTGGTCAACACGCTCTACCAATTCTGTCCCTATTTTCAAGCTAGAAGTCGATGTAGTTCAGGCCTGTAGCATCATCTTACCTTTGACAGGATCAGACCACATGACAAAAATTCGAAGATTGATGTTTAATGTGTTCAAAAGACTGTGTATTTGCCAACAACTTCATCTGGGAGGACTATATCGATTATATACTCTACGTCAACGAGATTAAACCCTGGTAACAAGTCAATCCGTGAGTCTCTGAAGTCACTTAGGGTTACATTAATTCATACATTTATGAAAATACACAAATGGAGAGAGTGGGCGTCACTGACGGACACCTCTGGTTGTTATCACCTCAGATAACAACTTTTCAACAAAAAATTGGGACTATTTTTGCAACATTACTTGCTTTCCGCTTTAACAACACATTTATGACTCGACAGCTACTGAGTGATTGAATTTCGAAATGCAACTTAAGAACAGCAGTTTAAGTTGCTGCATTCCATGTAGCCTGAAAAGGTAGAGGTGGAACAAAAAGTTCAAAAGGATTATTATGAACAGAAATGTACACGTGGAAAGGTAGTAACATAGAAAATACGATGATCTAACAGATCTGGGAGATTAAAAACAGAGAATACATCTGCACTATTGAGAAAGATTTTATAAGAAACATCTCAAAAATAGTCTCAAGCCATTGGTTCTTAGCGTCTCGAGGACGCCAATCAGCTACACTGACGACCACATTGGGACCAAATGACATACTTTTAAAGATATTTTCTGTGCAAAAAGGGGCTCAGACGCAATATATAATTGATGTTCGAAAAATATAATAGCTAAACAGATTTACTTACCTTTCTGTTTCATGGATGCAAGAATCTTCTGCGTTTTTGGCGTTGTTCCTTTTGGCATCTTGACAATATATTTACCCTCAATTTTAGGATCCATTCGACGTCGCACTGGGACCACAGAAATAACATCTAAAACTTCACTAAGTTAAGTGTGATCGCATACCCTTGGGCACTGGCTTCTTATCTTCAGATGAAGGATCTTTAGATGTGGTTGAAGTGACAACAGGTACTGGTGCAACTGACAACTATGCTAAATAATTGGGTCAAAAGCAAACTTACTTCATGCCTCATTTTCTTACATTGTTTCAGTATAGAGATAACATCACCAATTACTGTGATCCCCATGTCTTTAAGATGATCTTTGTCTAGATCAGCTAGCACTGCATGGTTAATACGGTGTTCAACGAAAATGGCAGCATAGGTCTCTCGAACTTTGGGTGGAACACCAGCAGCCTCAAAAAATTCAATCCATTCACCCAAATCTGAAAAGACATTGCGTGGCATTTTAAATGAATTGGAATATGTATATATTCGGGGAATTAGTAATTATCCATTCGATATCGATAGTTCCAGATAAGGGTCGAATGGAGGGGATATTATGGAGACCAATATCTAATGATGCTAATCATCCTTAGCATAGGCATTCGCATGCGAAATGAAGGCATTACTTTATGCTCAGAAGAATTTGAATCTGTAGTCTTCCTGTCCACAGAGTGGGATATGTTCAAATATTTTACATGTAAAGGCTTCACCAGGTAATGAAATATATCAGTAAAGATAAATTTACTACGTTCCACGTAAGACTAGAATTCTGTACACAAGAGGACTAGTTGTAATTTAGAAGATGGGAGACTCCATAAACCACGTCAAGGGTGCTTGGAGCAGCAAAATATAAGCACATTCCCGACCATATTAGAGGAAAATAACGAACTTATCCAAATAAATCCTGAGACATGATAGATTTGAATTGGTTCAATCTTGTTTACACAGTAGCTACGAGTATTTACACACTGTGATTTCTACATAGGAAATTCTATTATAGTTGAAAGGATAGCATATCTTCAGGCAAAAGACCTTAAGCAGGAAATATAATCAATCAAAAATTCATTTATTTGGAGAAGAATGGTTGAAAATCGTGACTCAAGAACTTATATTTTTGAAGTCAACGTGAAATGCCATATGGCAGCCCAAAGGTTTTGGGCAATGCATGAGCTGACAGCAGTAGACAAACTAACTGAGGCCTAGGTTTTACCTGATGAATCTAGCATAAGTAAAATTGCAAGAAGTGCCAGCCACTTGTTTGGAATTCACATACTCATTTATCCCTTTACACGAACAGAATGTGTAGCGCATACCTTTCATTTTTAGCGGTTAACTAAAACAAAAAATAAAAGTATCTGTCACACAAATTTTTAGAAAATTCATCTAAAACGTTATGCAAATCATTGTTGCCATACTTTAAGTTTTCTGCTTTCACTGGCGGGTACTTCAAACTCTGGAGTGAGTGTGGACTGTGAGTTGACGTTTTAAGACGCTTGTGTCTCTGCTTTTCCCTTCTGGTAATTATGTCATATATGCTTTCTCATATGTGCACCTTGTAATATTTTCTCATGTGCTGCCATTTTTTGAACACTTTAACTCAGTAATAAGATGGCATGGTGATCATGAATCCAGACTACTGTTTCACACCAGCGATACTATTATTGCTATGAGTTTGACTTCAGTTTGAGTTCACTTTCCTATCTGCGATATGAGTTAGGTTCTATTTGCATCGCAGTTGCGTTACAACCGTTGGAGTTAGTCTTGCTTTACCCAGTTACCTGTCTTGTGTGGATATGTTCCTGTTCGCTTTTTTGTTGTTCATATCCAAGTTTGTTTGCTATGATTGTCGTGATAACCTCACTTATTGTAACCAAACAATTGAAATATCCTTCCATTTCCAGCACATGATATCACCTCCATTAGTTATAGTGCCTTTAGGAGGAACGCTTTTTTCTTAGAATGCCTCCTCACTATTTTCATCGTTGCGTGCCTAACGTATGCTATGATTTTGTTCATCCCCTTGCGCTTCTTAAAAAAACCAGTGGTACCGATTCCTACGAAGATAAGCAGAATTACGCGAAACCCTCCGGAAAATGATATTTTTCAAACATGTGTCAGCCTTCTTCCTTGGTCACTCATAACCTTAGCTGATACAAACCGCGAAACAGTGTGTTGAGCAGTTCGCTCAGGAATCAAGTTAGACAATCTGACCCCCCACGAATGTCACGCTTATGCTATAAAACTGCTAACTCGATCAGGTTCACATCATGAGGATAGAAGGTTCTTGTTGCCCATATTAGCCCTTGCGATATATGTCTCTGCAGATATCCAATTTCTCTTTGAAAGCATTCACTGACAGAGCTGTTACTACTGTATCAGGTAAGGAGTTCCAGTCGTTGACCGCTCTGTAAGAAAATCTAAATTCATTTCATTCGACCTCGGTGTGAGCACCTCCTTGTATGACCTCGTGGATGTATCCTAGGGGAAAAGGAAAGGTTTCAAAGGTCAATCTCTAAATTACCGTTTAATATACGGTAAGCCAAAGTTAAGTCGCCTTTCCTCCGTATGTTAATGGGTAGAGATGGATATTTTGTGGGATGGATCAATTCGAAGTAATAATGTCACAAAGTTGAAACTTTCATGTGCATGCAACCATAATTTGTCTCATCCGTTGTGGTGGCACCATGACTCATTAGACTATTCATCGCATTTAACCTGTTGGGTCACAGCCTCACGTCTTGTTCTACGTGCTGAGATTTGTAAAGCCAGGTAGCGTCATGAGTACTCATGCATGAACGAACTGGAATTTAAACGTACAACATTAAGAAAAGTCTAGCCGTCCAAGTTGCTAATCTTCATAAGGCACACAGACAGAAATATATGAAAAAAAAAACAGTATATTATTGTGTAATGCATCTGTGCCCATGGAAGGAATTGTAAGCCGTGTTACCATTAGTCTCCAGCAATTGATTCTTGGCATCTCGATGACATACGGTAGGCAGTCTAAACCTTCATACACAGCTCAAACCAAGAGCCACAGACTTCATGGGTTGATGAAATATTTTGATTTAGCCACTCTTTAAACTACTTATGAACCCAATTACTTGGTACCCAACATCACTTGTCAAGGGAGGCGTTGACTTATCATGCTTAAGTTTCTTTATAAAACTCAGTACAAGTGTGCAACAGTTCGAGTTGCCACGTTGCACATAGCGCATGAGAGTAAATACAGATTCACAACCTCTCCGTACTGACCTAACACTAAGCTTAAACTCAACATTGCTCACCGTATTATACTTCTCAACACATGAAGTAGAGCTTAAATATTGCACTTGCGTGCGTTGGTTTGTCTTCCTACATGGTCTACTCGGTCTTCGTTAGCTAACTTTTCTGTTGCACAGCATTGTATATTGATCACAATACTTTTTAATTGCAAGTCAAATAGATGATAAAACAGCAGAAAGATAAGTGAAAATGTCATACTTCAGGACGCTTCTTTTCGCTACTCAACACTCTCCTCTATGGTCTGACACCGAAGAGACAAACATATTTGATTTGTAGGGATCTGACCAGTTCCATTAGCTGTCGGTGGCACTATATCTCAAACTATCATGAATTTGCAACCCAGTGACTGAGTGGTAAATGTGCTCAGCTAATAATCCGATGGATTTTGAGTGGAATCCTGGTTTCCAATGGCGCTCTGACTACAGCTACAAAGGTGTTTAAATCCTAATTCATGCATCAGATGCTAGTATACCCATCACAGTAAACAGTGTGATGTAGAATTTCTCCACCATATTCCTAAGCTTCCATGCCTTCCAGTTGAACAGAAGTAGTTATGCGAAGCAAAGAGGGGAAAGTAAAAGATAGTATCATAAAATTCTTCACCACTTCGCAAAATAATTTAAGTTTCTTTTGTTTGTTCTTCCCATCTCAGCTAACCAACTAATTCTTATATTTTTACCGTATAGCATGTTCTTATTAGCTACCTAATACTCTGCTGAGAATTCATAGTCGATTATAAATTCATGGAAGGTGGTCAGCCGATTGCTGAAGTTTGTTCATATTCACCTAATAAATGTGCCGAAGTAATTAACGGCAGTATGCATTCAAGTTCAACATCGGATTCTGATTATGAATATCGCAAGAGAAATAGTTATTGTCTTAGTTGCCAAAGAAGGCCTAAAGCTTCTTTGAAGTTTATATTAACAATATGGTATTCTCCGGAAACAAGTTCAGCTATCGCTGGTAAGTGTTTATTTGTAATTTTCTGTTTTCTACTTGCAAATACCCACACGCTTCTTAATCAATTAGTTGGTATCATCGTCCTTTTTACTATGTGCACAATGTAAAAAGTATGTACAGTTCATGATACCCGTTACTCAGCATAGTCTTTTGTAAATAGACAACTTGTAGCTTCTAACTGCACGTTTTGTATTGTAGATGAAAAGTCACTTTCTCATAATTAGTATGCATGATGGAAGTGAATATGCTTGAAAGGACATTAGACACATCGCTAAATCCCCAAAGGTTATGATTTTATTCTTTATTTTACTTGCCTTTCACTAAGTTTTGTAAGTGCACTGTGCTTGTAGAGCAGCTTGCATTTGTACTAACATTTCTACCACCAAGGCACACAACTGAATTCTTTTGATTGTAGGCAGAGGCATTAATAACATAAATGCTTATGCATCCAAGTTGTTGCAACATATGTCTCCTTATTTAGTGGAAAGGATATGAAAAGACGAAATAACCAATGGCTGCTGAGTGCTATAAAACAAGGAAGGAAAGAAAAGGCCTCATGTGCTTTTGGAAGTGTGTGGGTGGTTGTTACTTCCCGGCTGCCCACACCGTGAAAGTTGGTTGATTCTTCGGGTACTTAAAACAGAGAGAGGGCTAGTGTTGCATGACCGCAGAGCCCGGGGGACAGATGCTTGAGGCCGGTTACACACGGCCTACATGAACTGGTTTCTTGGTTTGGTTCCGTATAAGTAAACTTACCGCCGGTTATGAACCACCGTAGGGTAAGTAGGGATGTACAATTTTAGGGATCGACCTTTTTCTAACCCTCTCTCTCCAGAGTGGAGAGACAGTCTGGTTGGCCTGCATGCTGGTCATCTGAAGGAAACACTTTGCTGCTGTTACATCCCTGTTCTCTCGCAGTGCGACTTCACCCTCAGACCCCCAGCATAGTGTAAGAAAGATTCTTACACTGAGCCGGTAACTGCTTTTAGTCTAATCGCTATCCTAACAACCTTCCTGGCGTGGTAGGACCTGCAGGAACATTGGTTCCAGCCAGTGTAGCTTGTTGGGCCATCGCGATATGCAAGCCCGACTACCACGTCAAGGTAGCAAGACAAAGCAAATAAAAAGGCAAAATTTTTAAATTCAACTGCGTCTATGTAATGCACTTTTAGACGTGTTGCTGGAAGTCTGTGATCAACTAGATCCCACCCAGCAAGATAAACTACATCGACTTAAAATCACTTACAACAACAGTCAATGATATTGTACACAGGCACTCGTCGCTTTCTTGTAACCTAAATTTTACTTACACTGGAAGCACGTTTTCTTGGTAGATCAAAACAATAAGGGAGTGTTTAGAGGTGAAATGTTGATACGCGTAGGTATAGTTGCTCAGATCAGAAATAGATGCATTTTACATGGTAGTTTCCAATTTTGTAAAAACGACATAACAGTTGCTATTGTCTTCAGAGCCAAAAGTGGCAGAATTTATGTCATGTCTTATAAGCAACCAAGCATATTTAAAATCCTAGACATTTCATTGATCATGCTTTTTTTGTTTATTTTCTTATCCAGGTATTTCCACCGAACTGTCTTAAAATTTTTTTTGTTTTTCGCTTCTTTGTGTACGAGATTTCGTAACACGTTTATACAATTCCCTCACCGCATACTTTTAATCAGTATTTACTTTAATGCTATACTGTATTTTGATACACTCCAATTCGTACTGTTGTTTATCGTCGCATACTGTGGACTACTGTACATTACATATTTTTATTTATTTATTTATTTTGATTATAGCTTGATTCCACACCGTATTTTTGATACAAGTATGGAATTTTAGCATGCGATATCGGTAACCCAAATTTTGCAGGCCGACCATTGATATCAGGTATGCGTCTGCAGGGGATCGAACCCCGGACCATGTGCATGGTCGGCAAGAGTCCTGACCGCTGTGCCACCGACGCACCTAGTTATATATTTATATGTGGACATTATGCGATCACATAATTCCACTTCAGAAATTGGCCTCAGTCCTGTTCTTTACAGTCAGTGACTATTTTAGGTGTCATTCGCTAATCCTTCCCCTTGAAAATGAATGCCATTCAACAACCCGTTACTGACTGATAGAATTCAGTCTGCACCAATGAGAGGACTAGACGCATCATACTAGTAACTAGTGTCGAATCAAAATATCCACTATAGTCCTACAGGAGGTCAATCACGAGCCCGAATAGCTCAGTGGTAACGTCTTCGACTGCAGCACTGGGTGACGCAGGTTCGAATCTCAGAAGGGAGATGAGTTCCTTCAAGGTTGCAGATGTGCCTTGCTGACGAGACCCAACTCTCACGAAACCTAGTTCCAAGGCTTCCTGCCGATTGCCTCCAACCATCAAATCAATGTGCACTGTGATGGCGAGCTACCTAGAATTTTGGCCACATTAAAATCTGACTGGTAGAATTCAGTCTGCACCAATGAGAGGACTAGACGCATCACACTAGTGTCAAATCATAAAACCCGTCACTGTGTTTTCTCGTCTCTTCAAGGTGTTATCTTCTATTCCCAAATTGTCCAAGGCTGATGTCTCTTCCTGTATTAAAACTAGGCAATGAAGTTCTGAATCTCGTAGGCTGAATAGTATCCAAGTATATTTCATCTCCGTTTATAGTGTATTTCTTTTTTAACCAGTTAGCAATAAACATGTATTATGTTCTTTTTGTGTAGATTGTTTACATTCAACATAAATGTTTATGTAAATCTACTTTTATTGTTTAAAAAAAAGAGTCCACAGCTTTTCATTATATTTTTTTTCCCACACCTTTCAGAGGCTATGTCTTCTGCTTATACTGAAGTACAGCTACAGGAGATCGTTTCCAGTTCAACCAAAGACATATTACAACTAGCTGAGAAACACTTCGCGGATCTTAGAATATAGAGTGTTCATCTACTGGCTGGTTTGTTGTTTTCTTCCTTTATACTCCTCCTCCTTCTTTTCCATTCTTCTCTTTCGTCTATTCCTTCCCTCCCTCCCTTGACCCGCTATCATTTATGTTTTTTTTCTTTTTTGTCAAATCAGAGTTTCGTGTTTTCACTTCTTTTTCTTTCACCAAGATCAAAATGTTCTTCAATTAATTCATACTTTTAAAAAAATTGTATATTTTGTTAATTCATGTTTGTTGGTTTGTGCATTCGTTGGCTTGATTAAAAAAATGATTGTATAAGTTAACTTAAGTGTGTGAGTATTTGTGTACATAGACTATTTTCATCAGCAACAATTAGCTCAGACAACAACAACAACAAGACAGTGATGCATAAGCATAAACTATATATCTCTCATGTTCATGATATGTATGTGTGTGTGTGTAGTAGTAAATAAGGCAAATAAATAATCCAATGTATTGTTATCTATTCTCATTTTGATGATGGGATAATAAATATATAAGTGTTTTTTTCTTTTGGAGGGTAAAGTGTTTGTTATTTCTTGAGATTTGTTAAACTGCCTTCGCATATAGGATGAATAAAGGTTTTAATTTTTATGCGCCATTATTTTATCGATTATCTACATCATATTTTTGCGCGGGGGTGGGTGGGTCGTTGGCGAGAGGCGAGGAGTTAATACTGCTGGACTCTTTCGGTTTATTCCATTACTACGGTTGTTCTTTTTTTTTACTTCATCTCAAACCAAAACCTGGAATCACTTCATGAAATCTTTGATAGTTATTATTGTTCCCTTGGGTTCCTAGTGGAACATAGGGCTTTCAACTGCACGTCTCCACTTGCTTCTGTCTTCTGCTGTACTTTCCACTTGCATCCATGTTAGTCCATATTCTTTCCACTCCTCTTCACACCATCTCCTCCATGTCACCCTTCCACCGGCGACCCACTCGCCGCGTCCTTTCGGGTTCCACTCGAGCGATGACCTGACGCGCGCACGATGTCACCCAGCGGCCTCCTCAGCGAGTGTCCAATCCATCTCCACTTTCTCCTGCATATTTGTTGGGCGATTGGTTCTTGTTGGTGATTTTTTCCGGCCCAGCCATCCGATCTTCAGTATAGATCCAGCGAAGACAGTTGTTGATGAAGGTCTGCAACTGGCTGTTGGAAATATTTTTTGTGACCCGCCCGCCAAGATTTCTGATCCGTATAGAAGAGCTGACTGACTTGACGTTGTTTGTATTGAAAATCCGACCGAATTTTGTTGTCGATGCTGAGTTGAGTGACGAAGATTTCCAGATTGATTTTAGGTTGATAAATGTGTTTCTCGCCTTCCCGATTCTCGCTCGATTTGACATCCTCATCCGTTTCGACTGGCTGTAGTTGAGACAATGCTCCCTAGATAAGTGAATGAATGAAGTAACCTCTTTGAAATCCCTCCCGTTAATGGTGATTGGCGCTGGATGTTGCTGCTGTTGTTGGTTGGTTGGTTATTTTCAAAACCTCCGTCTTGTCTATGTTCACCTGGAGTCCTGTCTTCGTCGACTGCTTCTTCAACTAGTTTGTCGGTTTTCGCTTGTAAGTCTTTGATTTTGTGTGACATCAAATATAAATCATCTGTGAAATCCAGGTCCTCTAGGTTGTAGCAAGTTGGTTAAGTTTTGGGGTTGGAGTTGCTAGCACCACGTCCCAGCCCTCCCTCTTTATCCGGGCTTGGGACCGGCTAGAAAACTGGCGAGCTAGTAATCTAGCCGAGGTTTCTTTGATAGTTGGTGGTAGCCACTGTAGGACTGTGCGTAAACTGCTTGTCTAGGCTCTTCGGGAAGCTAATATCCGGTGTCTGGAGACAATTGGTGATACGGCTCAAAACCGTTCTCAGTGGTGCAAGTGTATTTATTCACTCTTATAATTCCCCATATTCCTAATGTTCTCCATGTTACTATTCTTCCTCCCTAACGTTTCTGCTGATTATAGTCGTTTTGAATCCCTTTTTTCTGCCTTTGTGTGTTTCGTGGAAGTGTGGCAACTTGAACTGCTCTACTTCTGTGCAAAGTCTTATGATGAAATCACTCTTTTGCTTTAGATTTTTAAATTATTATAAGGAATTAAAGTGTGCTTCGGAGGCCACAACATTTAATGCTTAGAATTCGAATAACTTTGAAGACTAATCCCTAGAGATATGTATGCCGGTTTAACCACCAAATTTTCGCTGAAAGATCTTTGTGATAATTTATGAAGGTTATGTTTTGCGTGTATGTTGGTAACCTGGTTTACGAGTTGAGAAAAAAACACGAGAAAACCAGGAAAGAGATTTATTTATCATATCTTCACCCTCTCAAGCAGATTCCAGAACTTATCGGCGTCCAGTGATCATTATATTTCTTGACCTGAATACAAAGTTCGACTCTGTCGATCGAGATGTACTATGGCAATGTTTGGCTGTGAAGGGAGTGCCGAGTATGTACAGTGCATTGATCAAGCGACTCTACTCGAACTCATGCAGCCAGGTAAAAGGGCTCAAGGTGAGTTGTCTTCTGAAGTGATAACAACCAGAGGTGTCCGTCAGAGATACCCAATGTCTCCATTTCTGTACTAATGGACTCAGGAATTGAATTGTTACCACGGTTTAATCTCGTCCACTCCCAGATGAAGTTTTTGACAATATACAGAGTCTCTGAACACCTTAAACACCAGTCTTCGAGTGTTTCGCATGTGATTTGATCCTGTCAAATTTGAAATGATGCGACAAGGCTAGACTGCTCCGAATTATAGCTTAAAAGTAGGGAGAGAAGTGGTATGAGGAGCGTTTTGACCACTTCATTTATTTGGGAAACTGCATCAGCTGATTGCTTACTAAATTTCAACTCGTATACAAAAGCCTCATATGGTATTTGCCAACTAAATTCATCTCTTGCATAGATGTGTTACCTGGCTTTTGATCAAAAGGAAGTGTGTACTGTTCAGCAGTCCCCTCCATCCTGCTTTGTGCCTGCGAGTTATGGTCATTGGAAGCGAAAGCTGTGAAAAGGCCGGCTGTCTTTGATCTTAAGTGTTCGCGTTCTATCTCCCGTCTTAGGTCACATAATAGTGTGAGTAATATTGAGGTTAGGCTTCGGTAGAGTGTTACTTAAGTATGGAAGTAAATCAATATATTGTTTCCTTTAGTTCCAAGAAGAGCATAGGGCTTCAGCTGCACATCTCCATTGCGTTCAGTTCTCTGCCAACGTTTTGACCTGGCTCCACATTTGTCCACATGCTTTCATCTCCTCTTCACATGACCTCCTCCACATCATACTTGGCCCACCAATTTGCCGCTTCCCATTCGAGTTCTACTCGAGCGATGTGATGTCACTAGATGGTTTTCTCAGAGTATGTCCAATCCATCTCCACTTCTTCCTGCTCATTCGTTGCACAGTCGGTTCCTGGTTGGTTCGCTCCCAGAGATCCCGGCTGCTGATGATGAAGACTGCTGTTGATTAAGGTGTGTAGTTTGTTCGAAGGGGCCTTCGTGATGCAGAGTGGCACCAAGTCTCTGATCTGTACGTATAGTAACTAATACTGAATTCACATTGGAGTTGAAAATCCGGATCTTATTTTCATTTTCATACTGGATCAGTCCTATTGATCTCCACACAGACTTGATAGTAATGAAAGCTTGCCTTGCTTTCTTGGTCCTCGCCTTGATATCCTCATCAGTCCCGTCCGCCTGAAGTTGAAACGATGCTTCCCAGGTAGGTAGGTAAAGGAGGTTGGTTCTATCACATTTCTCCCATTTACGCTGATTATTGTCTGTTGTCACTGTTGCTGTTGGCCAAGAATCTTCATCACCTCTGTTTTCTCTATGTTCACCTGAAGACCTATCATTATTGCTTCTTCTGTCAACTTGTTGCTTTCCAATTGCATATCTTACAGTTTGTGGAAATAATATATATGTAACAACAGAAGACAAGGGCTGGCAACAGATCGTTTTATTACGAAAATCAACACGTATTTATATATATTTTATGTGCATTAATAAGGCTTATGCAAGCAGAAAAAGGCAGTCTTCTGATTGGTTGTTTCTCGGAAGTTAAGCAGACAAACACAGTCTTATGATTGGTTGTTTTCGATATTTCTCGGAAAGTAGAGCCATCTATCTGCGAATCATATTTGTCCACATTTAAGTTTGCTGTGATTGGTTGTTGAAACAGCCTTGTTCATATTTTCTCACGGCCCATATTAGTGACCTAGACATTAACGTAGATTAGTGCCAACCAATCGGCTAGCAGCCTGCTCTCACCACACTCGTCCCCCCGTCAAATAGCTTCGTGCGCAGACGTTCCGACCTTCTGGGTGCTACATCCTCTAGTTGAGGATTGTTACTGACCGGCTTGTCCCACTGTACCCATCTTTGGAGCTGACTGGCGTTAACTCGTTTCTGTTTATCACCTCTTCGGATGGTATATACTTGACCCCGTCTTTTTGTGATTGTGTATGGTCCTTCCCACTTTGGAAGGAGTTTCCGTGAACCTAGCCCGCCTCCAACTGTATATCTCCTGTCTCTACACTTCACTTGGTCCCCGACTGCAAAGGTAATGCACTGCGTCCTTTCTTTCATCTGAGACTTCGTGACATCACTGCGCTGCTTCCGTATTACATTCTTGACTGCCTCTTTCCTCTCTGCTTTTAATTTCGTCGTACTCCACTTTTGGTGCATGGGCCAGGTCTCATTGTGTACCGGTAATCGTGGTTTTCTACCATACATCAGTTGGAAGGGTGACTTCTTCGTTGTTTCCTGAGTGGTAGCCCGATGTGTTAGTAAAATCAGTGGAAGCTCCGTTTCCCAGTTCCCGCCCTTCGAGGCCAGCCACTCCTTCAGTGTACGGTTGTTTCTCTCCGTTAGGCCATTCGTTTGTGGATGGTATGGGGTCGTTCTGATCCTCTTGATGCCCAGCTGTTGCAAACGGGAAGTAAACTCTTCACTCTCGAAACAGGGACCTTGGTCTGTCAGTATTGTCTTCGGTACGCCGTGGTCTGCAACAATGTGTCTAACTACTGCATCTGTCACGGTTCTTGCACGTTGGTCTGGGATTGCTACGGCGTCTACCCATCGTGTCGCGTGTTCCGTCATCACCAAGAGGTACTGATTACCATTGGATGTCTGAGGAAATGGACCCATGACATCTACGGACCACAAGTCACCTATCGCGGTAACTGGAATCGACTGAAGTGGTGGTCGTATATACCGGTCACCTTTCATCAGCTGGCACCGTGGACATCCAAGTACGTATCTTGCTACGTCTTCTCTCATACCTGGCCAGTACATACTTTGTCTTAGGAGGTCGGTCGTTCTGGCCACGCCTGTATGCGCTAGCTGGTGACATTCTTCTATCATGTCGTGGCGCGACGATTGAGGTATGACAGCCAGCCAGCTTCCGTCGTTCTCTCGCCAGGTCAGAGTCCCGTAGGCATTCACTCTGAGTCGATCCCTCTGTCTGAGTAGTGTGGTTAGCTCCTTACTCGCCGTAGTTTGATCCACTTCTATTCCGTTGGTGATCACCTGTATTACTGTATTCAGCGTATCGTCCAACCTCTGCCTACGTGCAAGTCTTAGTGGGTCTTGTTCTACTGCATGCACTCCGTAAGCGACCTCGGGCAACTCAGACTCATCTTCTGGTCTCGATAACAAATCTGCCAAGACATTTTCACTTCCAGGAACGTGTGAGATCGTAAAATCGTACTCCTGAAGACGCAACATCCACCGTGACAACTTCCCCCGTGGGTCTCTCGCTGTCTTCAAAAATTGTAGCGGCTTATGATCAGTTTCGATGTGG